TTCCTCACGAGTGCCAGTAGTCAGCCAACAACCTAGTTGCATTTTTCTAGGGCATTGGGTACATGCGCATAAAAAACAATGCCATGTGGCGAAATTACTAAACGAACACATGTGGTCCTCTAGTGTTGTTAGCTTGCGTTTCTAAAACTCATTTAAAAAAAATTGTCTACATACATAACGTCAGGAACATTGAGTCGTAGTTGTAACAGGCTTTCACGACTTCACAGGCTTAACAGGCTTTCACGGCTTTCACGACTTAGTCTATCATTTCCTCGCAGCCACAATTTTCATAATTGGGAAACTCATCGGTCATCAGCGCTAGCCCGCCGTATAAAATACTCGTTGACTACTTTAGCAGTGCAAACATCAGCGATGAGTCTATCTATCTACACGCTGAGTTACTCGCTCGGATAACCCTGTTTATCACGATAGACAGTTACAACCACCAGTAAATAGGCATTGTTAGATAACCGCACAATGATAGCAAAGCTGGATCATTACTTTGGCCTGCGGCCATTGTTCTTTGTGGATATCTGGCCCGGTTGGTGCACAGGCCTACTACGGCAGATGGGGTCGTTGTCGTATCAGGTACTACAGATATGTACCCGAGGTAGTTTTAGGTTGTTTAGTATTATGTTTATATTTTTATATAATTAGGAGGTAGTTTTAGGTTGTTTAGTATTATGTTTATATTTTTATATGAGGTATGTTTAGGGTTAGGGTTAGTGTTAGGGTTAGGGTACACTTCTGTAGTAAAAGTCTGGTACACTTTGTGTATACATATATGTACCTCGGGTACATATCTGTAGTACCTGATACGACAACGACCCCTTGAGCCCTACTTGGAGCGTTTCAATAAAATATAATGCTAAATAAATACGATATCTATTTACTACCAAAGTCACACATTGATACAAGTGACACATGATAAATTGACAATTGATACAAGACACACGTGTACACCGCATGCACGCTGCCGCACACTGACACATAAATATATAGTTATTTATTATTTAATTATACGATATATTTATGTGTCTGTGTGCGGCAGCGTGCATGCGGTGTACATGTGTGTTGCAGAGGAGCAATTGCACGGCATTTACAGGAAATTGTCGGCAATAATAGGCGAAAGATAGTAGAGAAACATTGAGACTTTGCTAGTAAATAGATTTCTTATTTATTTAGCATTATATTTTATTGAAACGCTCCAAGTGCGTGTGGGTTGGTGGCTATATAGACAGCGCAAGAGCTGCGAGTGGTCATCGGTATGGGTCAGTAGTCAGTACGCTGTGAGAGCCGAGAGCAGGCCATGCAGCTGTGTGTAGATGTTCGGACATCTGTTAATGATTTTGTGGCTTTGATTTTCGCTCTTCTCTCAAGTTCAGTCTTCCATGTGCGAAGAACAGATAGACCACTCGCTGTGGTCTTAATGTTATATCGTTGCGAGTGTACTGCAACTACTTGAGCTTTAGAGGTTACTAGCTGGGCTACCCGGCGATGCCCGGGATTTTTTGGGGGTTACTGCTTTTCTGCTATTTTTCGCCCTATGCAATCGCCGAAGAACTTCAATTAGACCATAGCCAGTAGGTCAATAGGTCTTGACGATTACTGCAGCCCATTATATCCGCGGAGCACGCCAAAAACGCGCTCGTGAGCGATCTAACACATGTTTTACGCGGCCCCACTCCAACAGCTTACCCAGGTTCCATTTAGGTAAAGGATAAGCCCCTATATCGCCTCAATTCCAGGCAGTTGTGGGGAATTCCACAAGCCTTTTCATACGCACGTAGGTAGAGAGTGATAGAAATTCCTGTAATTGCTCGCGTTGCTGGTCGGCGCGTTTCGTTTCCTCTAGAAAAGCGGTTTCCATGTTGGGTGTTTCATGCCCGTGACTTAATTCTCGATACAGTATCGCGTTCTCATAGATGGCCGGCAACGCAGACCATGTTCCATGGGCAATTTCACGGTTTTGTTCACGCGGCTCGGGGCGCTAGGTAGACTGCCTCCCTGGTCGACTAGTTTCTACACGCTATGACTAACTGACGTTCCATTGTTAGCCAAAGTGACAGGTCACACCAGTCTAGCGATATCCATAGTAATTTAGAGTACTTGGGTTTCGTATTTTAGGTTATTTGGGTTCGTATGCTCTTGCAACACGTCTTGGTACCTTGGGCTAGCTATGTATCATTTCTGCATTATGCGATGGCCATAATTTCGATGGTTGCGTATATTTCATCCATATCATCCATATTTGATATCCATCGATATATCATGCCACGTATTGTAGTGGGTATACAACTCTAAGTGTTTTAGTGGTAGGTAGGTCGAAAGGAGCAAAGATCATTTTTCATCGCGTGGAGATAAACATTTGAATCAGTCGAACATAATTTATTATAGTATTCGACACATGTTGTTTGTTCAACAGCGCCATTGCGCTGTTGAAGGCTGCAGTCAGACTCATGTGCAGGACGCTGATATGATACGATCATCTTCATTATTTGTCGTGTCCGACCTCGACAGTGATCTCTATCCTTTAACGTAACTCGTGTACATATATAAATTGCCGATGTATTTCTCCATGTGAAAAGCAAAGAAGTTCCATACCGCACACATGTCTAAGCGTTTGTAACATGTCTTAGCGAAAATATTTATTAGATATAGTCATGCAATCATATCAAAAGCAACAAAGTCCCTAAAATGGACCAGTGCCGGCTCCATTAGACACGAAAATGCACGAAATTCCCTTCTGCTCCTGTTTTCATATGAATATATTTTTTCTTGTGAAGCAATTGGGCCAAGATTGCATACTACCTTTCTATGTGTAAGCTGAGTAACATTATCTACCTAAATCTCAATGTCAATGTCCCAGTTACGTTATTTCCAGTGATACAGTACAAAGCAGAACTGCTGAGAAATATCTACACGAACAGTCGCTGTCTGCGAGTGACACATGTGCGCGAAATATCCACCGACTCGATGCGTCGGCCGAGTCCACACTGCCTGCTAGAAATTATCGAAACACTGACGCGCGTCCTTCGGCGAGTGACACTGTGACGAAATATGTTAACAGACGTGCGTCGCGGTGGACACTGTGCCGAAATATACACACGACCGGTGGCGTCGCGAGTGAACACCTGTGCCGTAAATATTTACACGACGTGCGTCGCCACTGCGACTTGTGCCCAATATCGACACCGACGCGCGTTGTGAGAACACTTTGTTGCCGAAATATAAACACGACGTGCGTCCGGCGAGTGACACTGTGCCGAAATATCGAACACCGACGCGATTATATTTAAACATAAGAAACTGATAAAGAGGACAGAGGCCAAAGTTACTGTTTGCTACTCCAATTTTTTTTAGGTACAATCTAATTTCACAAGATATAGTGTTGGGCGACGAGAATGGTTATGCGCCATGCTAGATGATGCAATGCCAGTACTGGCGGTTGCAAATGGGGGTTAGACCTGTAGGTAGCTGGTGCCGTCAGTGTCTTTAAAATGTTCATTAGGAACTTGCGTTTCCTCAACAAAATTCATTTTTTAGGCCTGGCCCTACAGTTGATAGCGTAACATAGTAAGTCTATGCAACCGCACAATTCACAGTGCTAAATATCAGGAGCTATTGACCTACTTTGACAATATTTGTGCCATTGTTAGCTTCTCACTTCTTTGCATATTAGCGTCAACTCTATTTAAGATGAAATAGCAGGCCGTATTATGTTCCGCATGATTTATTTTATAAAACCCAGCTTATGTATCCGCTGCCAGCTGCCGCTCGTTTACATGGAAGCGCTGACGCATAATAAAATACAATTTCATTAATAAAAACTATATAACAACACAGTGTAAGAAGTAGAAACTGTCTTGACACCTTCATTGATATTTCCATTGAATTGAACAACAGCAGCCAATGCAGCTTGAGGCTCTTTCATTGTATTCCCGGTTAAAATTCGTCGACTGTTCGCTGGCAGCTATGGATCCGTGCGCCGGCCCTATGCATTCGGCGCAGCTGGATCCACTTCAGCGCTTGCTATGTTCGTAGGACGTCTCGCGCGGTCGCGTGCGCCTCTGCCTCTAGTATCCCGTCTCATCTGGATCTGTATGAAAGTTCCTATAAGTGAGTGGACTGAAACTAATGTAACTCTGTGTAATTTCTCATTACATGCTATCACCTAAAAACATAATTTATAGTAGGCTGGTCGCAGTTATTGCTGCGGATTTCACATGCATACCTGGGGCTTAATATTCTAGTGTGCATAGTGGACTTGTTTTTTTCATTGTATGTATTCATTATGCCATGTCATGCCAAAGATTTACTAAAATATTACAATGAATGTATTCATCTGTATAAAAACATGACCGATAACGTATATGCTATACACTTGTCTACGCATCTTCAAATAACGTTATTTGTACTTATATAGATACAAGTATACGCAGCTCTATTATATCATGACATGTAAAGGCAATGTAAGCAGCAGACAAATAGTGCAAAACGCGCATAAAACGCGCATATCTGACTGCAAGTGTGATACCTAATTTAACTGGTCTAAAACATTTGTTTACCAAGCCGCAATAGGCTCTGCTAGTCTTGTATGAAACGTTTGAATATATAATAAAACAAATATCCGTAATCTACGTAATCCTCTGCACCCAATAAAATTGATTAGGGATAGAAATTTGTCAGCCCACGTGTACAGCTGCTGTTCGGTTAAATTTGGGCGTGCGTGTGATCATGAGACGATAAGTTATTTGTTCTTGCATGAGTAAATAAGGAAGGATGTGACAGGCGATGCTTGCACGAAGCCTGTCGGTGTATGCATGCATGTGTCCCGTGAGTGGTGCGCTATCATCGCTCTCTGTCTGTGTTTGTCTAGACGCGAGTTCCCGACTTGCTGGCGCCCATAGGTGTTAGATAGCGCCGCTTGCTGTCGAAATTAGCCGACGAATTTTTCTTTCGCTGAACGATTGCCAATGTTTGACTTTGTTGTGTTGCAG